CTGGACCACATGGGGTGGTGGGTGTCCCGTAGGGGTCTGCAGACAGGAGCATGGATTTGAGCAGCACAGTAAAATTTGAAAGTGGGGGTGTTGGTGGCCCAGCTTATCTATGGACTGTGATTTCCCAGGCAGAGCCACATGGGAGCCCCCAGCTTCACGGTGTCCCCATTCAGTACCCAATCCAGCTAACAAAAATTGGTAGGGGAAAAAACACCTCCTAGGAGGGCTTCCCAACTTGCAAAGATTGGGGCTGGCATCTCCATAGACTCCCTGCTTTGATTTATTAGCAGCTTATTTAGGTGTCACCGCATAGGCCGAGATACACTAAACTCAGACTGGCTGCACTGTTTGACTGCTTCAAAAGATGGTTTGTCCCAGTGTGATTTTCTTGTGTGGGCAGGGGTGACCCCACTTCCATGGGGAGTCGGGGGGGAGAAAAGGCTGATGCAAATGCAGAGAACAAACTGTGCTAAATGACTTTGGATTTCTGAGAGGCTGTGGGGGATTTCCACTAAAACGAGGCATAAATGCTTGTGACCTAGGATGTCAGCAGGCTGGAGAGGACTGAAAATCCAAACAAATGCTTGTTAATACTGGCAGCAGCTCAGGAAAAAGAAGTCAAGAAAAAGATCAGCAAAAATTTCAGAATAGGGGTAATCAGTAAATCTCTTCCCCTGAGTGCTCTCTGGCACACCTCGAGCCGCCCCTCACGAATGAGCTCATTCCTAAGTGTGTGGCGTGAAGGCTGTTTCCTTCAAGGAGGAAAATGAGAAAATGGGAAGCCACCATGCCCAGAGTCCAGGTTGTGTCCCTCTGTGTCATGGCTCTGCTCCAGGTGTTTCCCTCGCCCTTGCTGCCCACCCCGGAAAGGCTCCAGCCCAGGGGTACACGCCGTGATCAGCACCATGCAAAGAGCTTGCTGGGTTGCTCTCCGGCCACACCGGCAGTCGACAGCACCGCTCTCCTAATGGTACAGGCCCTCCGTATAGGGAGCAGAGGATGCTATGCGCGCTGTGCTGCTCTTCTGGTTGGAAACCGTAAGCTGAATATACTATGTCAAAAATAATTGGAGCTAAAGACTCCCTCACCACAAACTATAGTGCCACATAATAATAATGAGGATGATGATGATGGTAACAGTAAATTAACAGTAAATTAGTAATAATAATGAATTGGGATCTATGTCAAGTCTTGACCTTAAATCATTAAATTTCCCAAGATTTGAATTGAGCTCTGTGCCTGGGAAACGATTCAGGATTTCCCAAAGTGTTAACTGCTAAAATAATTTGAAGCCTGCTAGAGTTTTAACAAGCTTTGATTTGTTTGATTTGAACACAGGCGTACAGGAGCAGCCTGTAGCCATCCGAGCCAGAGCCGAGCTCCTGGCGTGTCCTGTCTGCCGCGGCGGGCAGGAGCGGATGCTGGGGGGGCACCAGGAGCAGCACCGGCACAGGCGTCTCCTGCCCGGCCGTTACCTGTGCCACCTCCTTTTCGCTGAGTGTTTCCTGTAGAAATTGAAGTGGTTTTTTTTCTATAAGAAGTTTCTTATAGAAAGTTTCTTATAGGCGTTTCTTACAGTAAGTGCTTGGCCATCTAATGATAAAGAGGTGGAGGGGGAGTTTTTGGTACCACTTGCCATAAGCGACTGAGGCTGCATTTCAAGGCGGAACTGGGAGCTGGGGTTTACTGGTGTTTCCTGCTGCAGATACAACCATATGCAAACCAGCAGCGGCAAACTGATAAATGCTGGGCGAGCATTCAAGCTGGCTAAATGTGAGTGAGCATGGTAGCTATCGCACTGACAGCCTTACTCAGGTGCTTAACTCCTTCAGTGTTTCTTAGTTAAAGATGAAAAAGCACACCCTGACATGCCAATCCTGCCAACAGTGCTCACGCTGCTGATGTGCAGCCTCTGGGCGAAAACGCTGGAGCTGATTTTATATTTCCTCTAATTCGGCTGTGGGACTCTTTTAGGCAGGCCAGGGCACAGGGACGGGCGGCAGAGGATGGCTCGGTGCTCTCCGCAGAGGGACCGCAGGGGCTGCAGCCCCCGGCAGCACGTGCCCAGCTACCTGCTTCCCTCCCGGGCATCACCAGCCCCCGCGCCCGCCCTTTCAGAGCGGTACCAGGACAAAGGTCTGCCAGCCATTAAAAACTAAGCTTTTAGCCAGGTTAATCGTTCTTTTACGGACTCTTCTTTGTGTAGTGTCATTTCAATGGTTTTCAAAGATAAATGACATTCATCTTGGTATTGAGGAAGAAGCAAAACCATTTTGAAATCCACCTTTCTGATCATCATTCATCAAAACAAAAGACTCTGAAAGTCACCTTTGGCTATAGGAAAGGGAGAGGTACTTTCTTTGTTTAGAAACCGAAAAAAAAAAAGAACAATAAATGTTTTGTTTGGAATAATAGGAGAGAGAGAAAGGACTCAGCTGAGTCTGTGCTTGAACAAACAGGAAGGAAGGGATTTGGCAGAATTAATCTAAACATAGCATCGTATTGGGAAATGCAGGCTAGGAAAATAGCCCTACAAAACTTAGCAAAATCTCAAGCACTTATAGACAATCCCTGTTATTGTGATATTTTTTTTAATGGAAATGTAAGAAAAAGGAGCTCTTTTCCCCCATTTTTAGGATTCTAATGGAGCATCCTGACTCGAGTAGCCAGATTGAACGGCGGGATTTTTCCTCCCTCCCTCCCCAGTAAGCGTGCAAGGGGAAGAGGTAGGTGCGGAGCCCCAGCTGTGACTCACTGCCGCTGGGCAGCTCTGCTGCTTGGGCCCCCTTTGCTCGCCCACACAACCGGCCCTGAGCCCTGGGGCGCGAGGGCTCTGACCCGACGCCTCTCGGCGCCACCGCCGTCCCACTCAGCCGTAGCAGCACCTTAGTTTTATCTTCGCACTTTGCCCCGAGTCACAGACCACCAGTTTAGCTGAGAGCCAGCCAGATCATGCACACCCCCCCGCCTTTCTCTCCTTCCCGAATGACTTTTCATCTTCATTGTGTTTTAAAAGCAATAGCATTATTAATCCTGAACATGACCTGGCAGCCAAAGCATGGAGAAGGAAAGCTTTCAGCGATGCCAGGCTCTAACTGCTCTCCGTACCACACGGCTGCTACCACTAACTTGATGCTTCAAAGCTCTCCAAGCTGCCGGGAGCCAGCAGGAGGAATCGTCATTAAAACGAAAAGCCACAAGTGTTCCAACCAGTTTGCCCAGAAATAAGTATCACAGTTTGTATCAGCATGATACATATCAACATTATAAACTTAACAAGGGTATTTGAAGATCACCAGATTGTGGCCTTATAACTGAAGCCAAATTCTTCCTTTGTTTAAAGCCTAATTCCTCTGCCCTTATGCAGTACAAGTAAGCCAAAACTTGCCTGAGAGTTCCTCAGAGAAGTGCACTGGTCTCCCAGAAAGTCACTTAAAAAAAAGCGTTGTAAGAACAAGGATTGGAAACTATGAGTCACTTTATTTATTTGCAATAATTATATAATTATAATCATTACATAAATGAGTATAATTATGCAAATAAATCTATAGCAATATATTAAATGATACATGTAAGTAAATAATTCTAAATATAAATTCTAAGGAGATGTTGTTACAATAACAAATTTCTATCGTTAATTATTTGTCACGCAGGAGTGTTGGTGGTAGAGCAGGACTTGGGCAGGATAGTGTCTGTTTAAACAAGGCTAAACCAGCCCGATCCTCGTGCCCCGTTCCTATTTGCCCCTCAGCCAGGCGAGGACTGCTCTGGCTGAGCAGCAGCCCCGGTCACTAGCACCAGTGTCATTTAGCAGCTCTGGGAAAAGTCCAGTCTGGTTAGTCCCTGTATCAGAATCTTGCCCCCTCCACACCCCATTTCACTAGCATTTCTTTCTGCACAAGCCACGGCCCACGCTACAGCCCCACATTTCAGCATAAACAGATGGGACAATAATTGCTCCCAGGTATTTGAAAACACCCAACAAGTTACACCGAAGTTGCAACAAGCTGCGCTGAAGTTGCCTTGTTTGGGATGCTGTCGTCACCCTGGGACCATTTTAAAAATGAGATTACATAGACTGTGAGTGGATTTGAAGGGTCTGAATGCGTCCTTGAGCTTGTGTCTGCCACTGTGGGGATGTGGGCAGCACAGAGAGTGTTGAAACCATGCTTCTGATGGGGATTTTTGGGCCTAAAATGATAAGCCTAGTGATGTTCATATCAGGAGATACTGCTGTGCTTCCCACACTCCCATCCTTTCGACCATGGTTTTCACATTCCTGATGTTTCTGAACTCTCAGCCACCTTCTCTGGGAGCTCTCCTTCATGAAGCTAGGAATTTTATTACTGACTTCAATGGGGATGCAGTTAAACCAGCAGGACTTTTGCTAAGCAAACGTTGCTGCATACCTGGCTCGTCTCATTTTCATGCTATGCTTGCAAACTCAGCGTGCAAGTAGCTACATGGGTGCTTCCACAAACAGATCTGCAGCCAGATGAACAGAGACCAGCAGAAATAGGCCCTAAGGAAAGTTAGAATTGATCCCGATGCCGTATAAAAGTATGGGAGTTTCGTGGTTGCTTTGAATAGGCACAGGATGCTTGTCCCACATCATTTGTGTGCAGCATCCATGCTCACGTCCGTACTCCCAAAGCTTCCTGTGGGAGAGCCCTGCTCTCCTGTATCCAGACAAGCTCGAGGGCTCAAATCAGGCCATGTGAATCACCCTTAAAATCACTCATTGATTTTCTCTAAGTTGTTTATTAGACCAGAGAGCGGCTTCCATCCTCCCAGTTACCTGAGGTGACATTGCTCAGGAGCTCTCCTGCAGAGCTGTGCTCATACCAGCCGTGTGTAGCACTCCCCACACCGCCACGCAGGGACAACTCATTACAGAATTTTGAATTTCTGTACATTGTGCCACATTGTGCCGTGGTAGTTTTTATGTAAGCTGTTTTAATCTGACCAGTTCTTTCTGAAATTTACAGGCTAGAAGGAAAATGATGAAAATGTTACCTTTTTTCCAAAGTGGTCCTATTGGAATACGCAATGGATCTGAGGGTTGCATTGGTGCAAACAGGCAGCTTGAAAACCCTTCGACATTAGTAGCTGAGCAAGTCCCTGCCTGTCCTGAACCTTCTGGAGACGAGATCTGGTCCAGGGACCAGGAGAAGATGAGTGAAAGGCCAGAGGCAGCCTGCAGACCCTCACGTGCATCTTCCATCACGAGTAATGGGAGCTGCACCTCTGCTGGGGACAGCCCTGAAAAGGGGAAGAAAGGAATAAAGGGAATCCTTACAAGTGCACTTAAGAAGATGAAAAAGATCAAGCCACTCAGTGGTAAGTGCTCCTCCATTCTCTTTGCACCACCTCATAGGCCATAGTCATCTCTAGAGGGGCTGCACGAGGTGGAGAATTGTCCCCTTGAGAAACAAGGGCACCGACAGATTAAAGCCCAAGGAGCCTGGGGAAACATGGGCCGAGGGGGACATGACCTCAAGTCCTAGTCCTTTGGTACCAAGGGCACACTCCTTGAGGAACTGCCAGTTTGCAGGTTTTCTGTCCAACACGAAACTTATTTCTACCTCTCATGGAGGCACAGAGATCTATGGGTGGGCGAGAAACCAAGGCATACCTTTCTGCTCTGTTCCTCCACGAAACCACCACCCTGTAAATCTCCTCTTCCCCCAAGGACAGCAGTGAGCAGCACGCGTAGGTCTTTCCGGGAGCTGGTATATGAACACACAGCTCCTCCACTCATGGGCACCGTCCCTGCAGGGTTCTTAGAGAGGTAGAAAAATACCTGCTCAGAACTGGAGAGGAAAGTGCCCCTTGGCACTTCCAAGGCTCACCTGCCACCTCAGGTGACGTACCTCGTTACCTGGTTCATAAACTTAACGACCTGTACCTTAAAATAAGTTCATTTTTTAGTCCTACCTCCTTTACTGGGGGGGTCTTCCAAAGTCTCACTGTTTTAGTGGAAATTATCTCATTTCCAGGCAAGTCTTTACCTGGCTAATTGGCTTCTTTTCTCCACGTGTCAAATGTTTTCCCTAGCTGGTGGTTTTCCTCCTCGGCCTTGATTTGCTCAGCTAAATGAACCAAGTCAACTGAAAAGAGGCCCTGTGTGCCTTTGTTCTTACTGTTGCGTTGTCCCATTCCCAATGTCTTTTTTTGAAATAAAGCAATCAGAATTGCAGAAAATATTCCAGATGAGATACCACCAATGCCTGGTACAATATGTTACCGTTTTCCTATCTCAGCTGGACATTCCTCACTGGATACATCTTGGGGTCATACCTGACTTTTTCACCATCATCTCACAGTAATGATTTACTAATTCTCCAGGCATCTCTCTTCCTCCCCCATCTCAAGCTGATTCGCATCCAGCTTGCAGCAGAAAATCCTATTTGTTGCTAAGTAACTTCTGTTCTATTGAATTTGTATCTTATACTTTGTGCTATTAAATTTCAGCCCATTTACTATTCAAGTTATCCTGTTGTTCCTGTATAATACACCAAGCCCTCAGTTTCGATAATGTCTCTGAACTCTGTGTAATCAGCAGATGCCAATAGGGCACTCCCAGCTTTTGTGCTGCAGTCTGTAAGGAGGATATGAAGTAAGATGAGTTTCATGGATTATGTAAGCTTTCTCCACCCAGGGCTTTCCATACAAACCTTACACACCTAACAAAACTTATTTTGGGATATAACTTCTCTAGTTTAGTTAATAATTTCCCAGATTGCACCATACCGAGTAACTGGCTGTAGTTCAGAAAGGATAGTTCAATTGTATTTATCTTGCCCACTAAATGTGTCCTCCAAAAACATTTCACAGATCAGATTGTGCCAGCCTATTTCTGGAAAACCCACGTGGTATTTCCTCTAGCACATCTTATTTAGCTACATCATGAATACCTGTCCATACGTAACACTCTGGTGATGGGTGTTCGAATTTCCACTGCCCAGTTAGAGGTAGGCTAGGAATAATCTTAATTTTAAATAAAGAGAAAGATTTTCTATATGGTGAAGGAACCTAAGATCTAGCATTATAGAAATATAAACATTGTTTCAAAAAGTATTCCAGAGCCATCATTTTATATAAAATAGAAATTTAAATCTTTGCTATTGGGTAAAGAAAGGCTGTTATTTTTTCACCAGTCAAACAAATCATGGATCTCCTTGAAGAGCACAAGCTTTGTGATGCCGCTCAGCATCTGATTGTCCTGGAGAAGAGCCTGTCTAGCAAAAGTGAGGAGGGACTGAACACCAGCCAGCAAGACGTCGAGTCTGTCTACGAAGTTCTGAAGCACAAAGTCTTCAGCATCTTGAAAGACTCCGTCCTTCTAGCGAAAACAAACCCAGAACTGCTGCAGCAGGCGGTAGATGCACTGAAAGAGCAGGAGAAAGAAGATCAGAACTACACGTCGGAGAATCCACCTGATCAAAACATGCAGTTTAGACCTAGAAAATGGAAAGAACTTTGGATGGCTACAGTAAAGGAGTCGGTAGAGACTCGAATGAAAGACACAAGTCATACTCCTAGAACTGAGAACCTCTCTACAGTTGGCCAGAACCTCCTGCACATGGGAAAGACAATGAAAGAAGATTTGACAGTAATTGTGAAGTACATTAAACAGCTTTATCCTCCTGAGTTTAATGTGTTCAGCACATATGCAGAACTCTACCACAACTATTTTGCCTCCCAGGCAAAGAAAAACGCTGAGTCTCATCTGGAAGACAAGGATATTTATCTCCTCCTCTCATGGGTGCACAACATTTATCCAAAGTAAGTGAGGCTTTTACACATGTTTATCCCTGGTGATCAGCACAGGTTCACTGGCTGCAAAACCAGACATTTGCTTGACTTATGAATCAATATCACTGTCATGCGGTTTGGTCTGTGGCTACGTCTTGCAGGCATCTTGCTGGCATCGTGCTGATGCACACCAGCTGGCCAGGAGAGTCGGAAGGCACACGCTCAAGGTTCCTAGTCTGTAAACCAGGGGCTGACCCCAGGCCTCTGGGCAACAGACCGGCACACAGATGTTTAGGGCTTCACTTGTGGGGTAAATTGGACAGGTTCATTGCCCTGATCTCTAATCCAGTTGCATACTGAACTCATTCTTGGAAAATTTGGAAATTTCATCCCTCTGGACCAGAGGGCAGCCAATAAATGGAACAACCTGAGATGCAATTATCCTGGGCACGGAGGATGTTGCTTAGGCATTACCCACAGTCTGTGCTCTCCTCCGGGTTAGGAGACCAAAGGGTGCACCCCTGTGAGAGGATGTCATCAGCCAAGAGTCGCCTTCATCCTCACAAGCCCTGTATGTCATAGAACGGAAAATATTACTTGTTGTGGCTTAAAATACTGGATGGAGAAACGAGGGCTCTCATTTCTTAGGTGAAAACCAGTAAATACACCAGCAGTGTTTCTTCCACTGTTCTAAAGCCCTTCAACCTTCACCTTCACTTACTCCTTCTCGTGTTTCACTGACAGAATATAATGACTCAGTGTTGATCCTGGAAGTTTTCCAGAGCCGGTGCTGTGCGGTAGGTCATGATATTCAGGCCTGAACCAGCGTGTGTTTGGCTATCAGTAGCTGTGAGGAGCAGGGCTCAGCCAGAGCCGCGCAGCCCAGTGCTGGGGCCGGTGTTGGCCAGGGCAGTGGCTGCTTTGCTGTTCCCAAAGGCCACGTCCAGGTGTCTGCTCAGGGACCACCTCTCTCCATGGCCAGCAGTGAAGGGAGCAGCGAGGAGGAGGAGGGTTGCACAACAGCCTGGCCCCAGCTTCCAGCACCGTATCAGGAACAGCCCGTGTGCGGGAAGCACGGCGGTGTACCCCCATGGAGCTGGGTCATGTGCAAACACGGGAATCAGGCGATGCTCAGGGTTATTCTCTGCAGCTCCTGAGGGAGAGGCTGCTTCCAAATCAGCCCTCCCACGAGTGCTGGTCTGAGCCCCCACGGCTGGCAGGTCCCTTCCCTCGAAGCTGCTCAGGAGCATCGGCTCAGCCGGCATGTGGTGGGGACATGACAGCAGGGTATGAAACAGCCCGCTCCTTTCCCAACTAGCCACGAGACACCAGCTTTTCATCTGGTCACCTTTATATTGACGGAGAGAGGCTGTGTCCCGGGACTAGTCCCTCCTGCTGCTCTGGGTCCCCCATACCCAGTGCAGTGGCCGGTGCTCAGGAGCTCAGCAGAACATGACTCCAGTCCCCGGGGTTGCCCAGGGTCCCACCCTCACAGTTCCCACCCCTGGCACAGATTCAGCTCCTCCAAGTCCTGCCTGGACTAAGGACAATGTACATTTCCATCTGTTTTTTCACTGATATCCTCAAAAAGTGTCAGTCAATTTGCATCAACAGCCAACTTGAATTACACTGCCCTTGGAAAATGTGATTGTTTGGCTTTTTCATTCCAGAGATATGAGAAAAGATCATGTTTTAGCAGAGGAGTTGGAAAAAGTTAAGCTTGGGAGCCTTTTGCCATCAAGTCTGAGCAAAGAGCTTGAAAAGAAATACCTTGACAGTGAAGAGGTGAGAATCCGTTCAGTCCCTCCTCTTCCCTTTACTGCTGCCATATGACTCCTCGGAGGAGCTCTGACTTGCCCTGTGTGCACACTTCTCAGCTGTGAGTCACACACCCTGCCAGAGAGAAGCAAAAGCAAGAATGCTTTTGTTTCTTTTTGGGGGACAGGTCGGCTTTCTGCTAGATGGGACTTGCAGAGCAAACTTCTGCCTTCTGCCCTGGGAGCCATCAGAAAAGAACTGCTGTGTTCTTGCAAACCTTGTGGTAGCAAGGTGGAAAAAAATCCAACAACAAATCTTTATGGGTAACTTCCCAGTTTTCTGCCGAGTCCCCAGAGGGACTTATGCTCCCTCTTGCAGATGGTGGACTCAGAATTACTTCTGGTCTCTGCAGCGGTGCCAGACCTTGGGTGAGCGCAAAGCATGCACGTCTGGTCTTGAAAAACCTGTCTCTGATGGAGAATCGCCTGGTCCGCAGAAAATAACAGTTGCTCTGGGTTTTGGATCGCTCTTGCCTTAATGGAAATTAGAAGCAACTTTTACAGTACTCCCATAGCTTAGTGCTTCTGGCATTTTGGGCTGGAATTCCTGGAAAATGAGAAGACAAGTTCCAGATTTAGCTGTAGCCTGTGATGGTTTGCAGATGGGAGAGGTGGGTGTGAGGGCTGCAAAGCGCACGAACGAGGCGCTTGGTGATCAGAGATATATGCCAGCCACCGTACAGACCATTCCCAAAGCCTGGCTGCACAGTGTGCACGCAGCGCGGAGAAAACCTGAGAACTTTGTTTCACTCTCCAGCACTCATAAGACGTCAGAAGTGCTGATGAAAAAGGATTGCAAAACCAGGCCCGGAGAGGATCACTGAGAGTTACACACAGGCAACGCGTGGCTGGGGAAATCTGGGCTCTGGCTGGGGAAATTTGGACTCTGGCACGCGTCACTGCCTGCGACCTCCCTGCCCACGGCTCCCCTCCCCTGCCCTTGAGATCACCACTGACGTGGCAGGGTGGCGGGCAGGGATGTAGATCTTGATCTCCATTCCTACCCTGAAATATTCAACTCGCTATTGCATAGGTGGATATTGCGAGGGGGTTGTCCTTGCTGCTGTGAAGCTGTGGATAAGGCGTCTCCTGATAAAAAGCCTTTATTTCTCAGCCAGGGGCGAGGAAAAAGTCTGCTCAGCCAGACAAATGGTGGGTGGGCGAGTAAAAACCTGCATAAGGCAGGAACTGCTACATCCACTTTGTGGTAAATGCTGTTGTTCTTCCTTCCCTAAAGGCTACTATCAAAAATTCACTGAGCAAATGTTTAGATAAAGAAATCCAAAGGTGGAAAGAAGACAAAGAACCAGAGAAACTAAATGGACATTTTCAGAGTGAACTACTAGCAATATTTGTTATCCAGGTAATACAGATATATATTAAAAATAAGCAGTTGCATCCTGCCTGTATTCAGGATATGAGACTGGCTGCAGTCAATTCAGGAAAGCGAAAGGCCAAGTCGCTTGTGCAGGGCGGCAGTAGGGGCGGGTGGTACAGGGCAGCCCTAACCCACGGTCGGGCATGGTCCTGGTCTAGCACGTGATGGAGACAAACTCCTCTATGAGCAAAACAAGCAGGAAAGCTGCCTTCATTTCTCCCTGTGCAGTCCCTTCCGCACCCCCAGCCGAAGCCAAGCCATTAGGCACTAGATAATGTAGCAGCAGAGAGACAAGAGCCGAGCGAGGAAGCAGGGCGATGCTGTTGCCCTGCTTGCTCCCGGGGAGACGGGCTCTCACGGGCAGAGCTGCTCCGAGTGCTCACGCCCTTTCCCAGTGCTCAATGCTCTCCCTCCTCTGGCTGCAGAGGATTAGTAGAGTTTATTTTTAAAAATTAAAACTTTCATATATTGAGGTTGTTGCGCTTAAATTGGTTTTTTTAATGCAATCATATGACATTCAGCAAAAAAAGCAAAAAACCCAAGTGTTGCTTTCCCCATTTTCTCAGATATTTTATAGACTTTCTTTAATGTTTCTTTCTTCTTCACCTCTCTCCCCATTTGAAAATGGAGTTCAAAATTGGCTTGAACTCACCAAATAAGTATAGCTGCTCTGCACAGTCCCTGGCTCAGTCGCAGGGAGGGGTGAGGAGAGCTGGGCGCAGTTGCCGCAGTTAAGGGTCTGTAGCCTTTTAACCAGCGAACCTGGCCTTTTTGGAGCAGACGGCGTTTCAAATTGATCTTGTTTGTTTGGTTGGTTGTTAGAGTATCTATAGCGGCCAGAAGCGAGCCAAGGACATCAGCGTGGCAGTGGGCGAGGAGCTGTCGCATCGCCTGTCGAAGGAGCTGCCTGCCTTCCTGAAAAGGTGCGGTAAGGCAGGGTCGGGAGCAGGGCTGGCAGAGCCGCCCGGGGCACGCACTCATCCGCCTCTCCTCTTCCCATCTCCCCTCCAGCTACAAGGATGCTTTTGAAGACTTTAAGGAGAAAAGCAAGAAGCACAGATACTACAAGCCTATACTGATTGCAAATATTAACAACTGCTGGAATTTTAGGTAAGGGTCCAAAAGAAAAGGCTTTGCTCCTTCCTCTGCAGGCGACGGATAATAGTGTGATAGAGGGGAGGAACTCCAGAGTGGGCAGAGGAAGGTCCGTCTGCCTGCAGAAGAAGGTTTGGAGAACTCTGAATTTCTCTCTGTGTATCTCTTTTGAGGACAGATTATTCTGACCTTACTGATACTTCCTTGCAGAGACTACGCAGAGAAAAACATGGCAGAAAAGGACGACAATAAAGCCAGTATCCTCAGCACTCTCGGCGACATTGAAAACAGCGGCTTTGACGTGCTGCTTCAACAGCTCTTTGCCCAGCTGAAGGTACCGTGTCCGCGCCCCACACCCTCCTGCCCCACGGCTCAGCCTGTGCCGGTGCCGGGCACGTTCCCCTGCCGTGCTATCGGTTGCCCAAATCTCTGATTCAAATGCAGCAAAGTTCAGAAGGGCTGCGGGGCCGGTCACCTCTCGGCATCAGTCAGAAAACTCTGAATCACCTCTCCTTGAGCTGGTCCTCAAGCCTGCAGGCAAAACAGGCGAAGCTACGTAGGCATGACTGTGCAAACGAACATCTGAGAGAACTGCTGCGGGAGGGAGAGTCTCAGCCTGCAGGTGTTTACACTCCAAACTGTAGGACATAATCACAAATGACATGAACTGCAGTTACGCAGCTTTTGGCTTCTTCATAAAGGTGGCCTGAAAGGCACTTCTGGTTTCTTTCTTTTTTTTCTTTTTTTTTTTCTTTTCAATATATAACACAAGCTTTTTAAGTTAAGCAAGTGTGGTGGAGGGGAAGGCATAGGAGTCAGGAATGTTCAGCCACAATCTCTCCTGCTTTCTCTGTAGGGCCTCTTGGAAGGCATCGGACAGAGCAGGGGTGCTTTTTTTATTTTCATATTTATTTACTGAGGCCAAGAAAAATTGTGATTGAAAACATCTCATAATGATTCATTTTTTACCCTGATGGTTCCATAATTTTTTAATAAGACAAGATGGTGTGGACAAAACTTTGAAAATGTGGAAATAAAAAATCTCCAATATGAGCCTTTCAAGCCCTCAGTCTTCTTCATCATGAGGAACCAAGAAGGGGGCACAAACCCAGTACTGCCCCCTCTTCCCCTGCCCCTGTAAGTCATTGTCACACGTCCCTGCATGCCATGCTGTTGCTATGTAGGATACTGTACATATAGAAATGCTAAATATACATGTGCATAGAATTTGTTTTGAGGGAACTAAGCAGATATTCCTTTTTTCAGCCAATTTATAAGAAGTTTACAGAAAATAAGTGGGACTCCAGCAATGAAATTATGAACGAGATCATTAAAACCACCAGCAACCATATTTCAGACTTCCGGACCCTAAAGGACCCTTTCTACCACGTAAGTCCAAGAGAAATATCGGGGGGATTCTGGGACACTGAGGCTGTGTTTTCAGCTCTGATCCTCTGTGACTGGAGTTGCCTTGACCTGCGTTAAGCTGGCGAGCTGGCCTGGCATAGGAGAGCCCTCTCAGGCGGGATTTCCATCAGCATGCAGTTTACCTAGATTAGCCATATAAATCTTACTCTTCTCCAGCAGAAGCAGGCTCCTGGAGCTCTGCTGCAGTGTTTGCAGAGAAAACCACCCTTGCCGCAGAGAAAGTGCTCTAGGGATTATCCAAAATATGGCTTTATTTATATATGGGTTTGGTTTAGCAACCTTGAAACATGGATGCGATCGCACGGTTCTGTCTCATGGCTCCTTTGATTGTCCTAAGTACCAGAGGAGATGCATGCAAATGGGACAAATCCCAGATAACTAAGCCACAACCACATTTTCAGTGGTGCTGGAGTATATATGAAACATCACCATATAAAAAAATCTTTGATTTCCTGCCTTTGTCTTTTTAGTAGCTGAAACAAAATTATGACGTTTTGTGTATTAGAGAGAGGAACAGGAGGAGCAGCATGAATTCCTGTTTTTCTGGAGTACTGCTACTTCTTCTCTAACACGTTAGATCTTTTCTATGCCTTCAACTCTTCCCAGAAGGAAACAACATTTGGAAATTCCCACACTTCACTAGTTTGAGTACAAAGAAATTCTCGGCATCTAGGATGTCGTATAACCAGTCATGGGGATGTTGGCAACCAGTACTGTTCCTCACATGTGATCAGCAGCAGGCTTTGGTGGGGCATGTCTTATAACACCCAAGATGTTTTGTCCTCCATCCACACACACAGTTTTCTTTGTCCCCAAGCAAAAGATAGATGGATCATCCTCCCTCTCCTTCCCAACAGGCTATCATCGAGAAGATCCACACCCGTTTGGTTAAAGAGTACATCGTGAGATTGCTGAAGAGGAAAGTCAGCCTGAAAACTCCAGCGCAACAGCAAAACCTGGCCCAACACATCTCCAAGAACGCTGCCGACCTGGAAGCCTTCTGCACCAGCAATGTACGTGAGTGCTTGCCATGGCCACACCAGCATGGGTCACGGGCCCACTGAAAAACAGGAAAATAAATTTTCTGGGGCCTCTCATTAACCTTTCCAACTCAGCTTAATTTCCTGGAAGGAAGGTCCTTAGGCAGAAAGAGGTCTCCAAGTGCCTCTGGGCAGGAAGGCTCCCCTGCCACCAGCCTGCCCTCCCCCAGATGGAGAGCCATGATTTCATCCTCCTTTGTCCTGTAGGCAGTGGTTTCCTTTTGAAGGTTTATATTAATAGGGTCAGAAGATTTAGCTAAACACTGCAGTTCTCCGGTTTCAGTACAACTTACATGGAGTCTGGATATTGGCTCTTCCCGCTCGCCCTTGATTCCCCTCAGTCTGCTGCTTTTAGGTCAGGCAGGGGCTGGAACGGGCAGTGTGGGGTCTCTGGTACGCAAGGGTTTCCTCCACCAGAGACCCTTGCTTTTTTTGCATGGCTGAAACGCCCTTCTCTGTCCTCTGAGATCACCTCCCTCCTTTCACACCTCTAAATGTGCCTGCAAAAAAGTGAAATCACGCCTTGTCCTCCACCACCCCATGCACGTTTGACAGGAGAGGGAACAAGCCTGAGCAGCACTCGGTGTGGGCGGGAGGTCAGGCAGCCAGTGCCTTGGGATATCCAACAGCCACAAAACAGGTCCAGTTGGGGCTTTTACCTGAGTGGGCAGGGAAGGGATTTTGGCAATGCCTGGAGACGCTAAAGGCAGGGTTGTGTGCAGAGCTGGGAGAGAGCAGCACGTGCTAGTGCATTACCTTGCCCATCAGACCTCGTACACACGCCAGGCAGCGTAGAAACCTAAGGAAAGGAAAACGTGGTGGGAGGGAAGAGCAGAGAGAGTCTGTTGAGATGGATGCGGAAACCTCGGTCTTTTGGGAAACCCTACACCACTTGTGTAAGAGGATTAAAAACCACCACAAAACTAATCCAATTTCTCCAAGGCTGGCCTAGGCAAAGTCTGGGCCAGAAACATCATTGAAAACAATGAGGCAGTTAAAATCGCTGCCGTGTCCTTCCCCCTTGCCAGGAAACAGCCTCGGGAGCTGGCTCGGCGGCACCCCTGGTGAGAGACAGCTCCTGGGCTGGGCGGAGGTTTGCACCTCCACGATGCCCTGCTGACCGCTTTCTCTTCTGGCAGGGCTCTCAAGCCACGTGGCTGAATTCAGCGCTCCCCAAACTGGCTGAAATAATCCGACTTCAGGATTTAGGTGCTATTAAAATTGAAGTTGCAACACTCGCCACGACATACCCAGATATCCGGTAAGAGACGCAGAAGCATATTTGCAAATACTCAAATGGAATTTTAGTTGAGCGAGGAAACAGTCAAATATGAGTATAGGTGAGGTTCCTATAGCCTGAGTCTATAAAAACAGGTGGGGGCCGCCTGCCAGGCTGTGGCAATCCCAATGCCATCGGACAACGAAATAAACTATTAAAAAAGGCCTATTTATATATTGCAAATTCTGGTCTGATTTTCTCCCTTGCCTTGGAGATTCCCTACTCTACCCCAAACCTCCCAGGGCAGTGCTGGGTCCCGTGTAGGATTGCCAGACGCAGAGCTGACATCCGCCGGGGACCTCAGCGCCCGCCGCGGGGTGGGGGCCGCATCCTGGCGCAAGGGACCCAGCACGCAGAGATCTGCAGGAGGAACTGACACCTGCCCGTTTCTCTTCCACAGCAAAAGGCACCTGGAAGCGTTCCTGCACATCAAATCCAATTTGTCACGCGGCGAGCTCAAAAGCATCCTGGGCTACTTGGCAGACAGCACAGCATCCACGCCACCCGGGGCCCCGCTCTTCTCCAACATAAACGTGTCCTAGGCCAAGGCACCCCTTGGCACCCCCTTGTACCGGACTGTGGGCTAAGCCGGGGATGGAGACCATCCCCTGGAGCGATGCATAGCGCACACTGCTGCCTTTTCCTACAGAAAGTACTTTGTTCTAATCCCGTGCTCAGCATCTCTGTGGGAATCACTGTCCTCTGTGCACAGCCGGGAAAAGGGGGCACCCGTGGAAGGAGCAGTGCTTGCAAGGACCAGGGCTGCTCCTCACAGCAGTCACGGACTCCCTCCAAGGTCTCCTTGGTGCCACCACGTTCTCTGCCTGGACACTGCCCTGGTGCTCTGACCTCTGTCTACCTCACAGGGTGCTGTGAAGGCCATGTCGCTGACTCCCAGACCGAGCAGGCACCTCCTACGTAGCTTTTTGTCTTCTAAGGAAACAGAGAAACAGAAACTGAAGCCAAAATTTAGAGATATTGGAAAAGTCCCACGTGAGCATGCTTGCACCCCATCTGCCTTCCTCTGAGCCGGGCAGGGACGGCTGCATTAGGCCGATGGGAGAGGCACCAGGTTTCGGGTCAGGAGGAGCTGTCACTCAGCCATGCCGAGACTCCTGCTGTCCCGCTGCGCTGCAGCACCCCCACATCTGGGGCTTGGAGTGGCTCCGGCTGCAGGCTCTGCCCCATGCAGCAGCATTGCCCAGGGGCACCGGGGTTTCCGAACCGGCCCTGGAGAGCCCTGGCTGGCCCCACAGCAGCAGTCCAGCTGTGTGCTTCCTTCACCTCCATGAGGTGGGAGCACCCAACACCCCCGGCAGCCCCTCTGCAGTGACCCCATCCCGTGCATCTGCACTAGAGTGGCACCCTGCTAACAGAGGGTTAGGAGCAAACCGCCTATTGCAGGGGATCGTGTGGGCTAAGCATCGGCGTCTGGTAAAGCACTTTGGATATTACTTAAGCCCTCCTTATCAAGGAGAGGACTTTTCCAGACCCATTAACGTCATAGGCTTTGAATGGGTGGTGGAACTGGTCTCAAATGCCATTATAATGTATCGAGCGTCCTGTATGCATCACCCTTTCCTTGCTCGCTCTTTCCCCTCTTGCTGTGAGGTAGATATGATGTGAAAACACAAATGGGTCTGTTGTGAAACTATGTTTTGTCTTTACAGCCCAGTTTTTTGGGAAGCGAATCACTTGCCAAAACAACAATGTTTAGTTGAAGACCTTTCCCTTCTGTTTTTCTCTTTCAACTTTTGTATCAGTCTGTAGAAAGTCAGTCCGGAAGGAAGACGTATAATGACTGTGCAAACCATGTAATGTATTTATATGCATATGCAGTATACCATTGGTGTATTTTTGCATCCAATTTTATTTTTTCTCAGTTAGGGATATTCATTTGCAATGTTTATATTTAAACAGTATTCAAATATGCTAGAAAAGTGACTCATTTATTCTGTCTCTGGCTGTTGTCTACTGCATTGCCACACGTAGTCCTATGTACTCCTTCAAAGGGCCAATTCTTCCACTACTCCCAGCCTGCTCCGGTGAATGTCACCCACCGGTTCCAGGTGGGGAGGGTCTTGCTGGACTACAGACAAGCTGGAAAAGCAGAGGCACGCTCTGTTTGTGCTGTGTATGGGTCCCATAGCCTGGCTTTCCTTGCTCTCTAGAGCAAGGACTGTCGTGTGCACCGTGTTTATGGTGTCTGGTGTAACAAGGTCCAAAATGTCAGCCTCTAAGCACTACCACAGTCTCAATGTTGAATAATAAAAAGATATATATTTGACATACAGCTCGTCCTTACTGCTCTGGCATCCCCCTTCCTCATCTCTGTTGTCTCCTCCTGTTCATGCGAGTCTGTAGCAGATACAGCCCACCAGAATAATTTGGCCCCAGCCGGCCCTGCTGGCCCCCATTTACCCTCCTGGCAGCTGCTATCAAACCTGTGGCTTTGCTGCTGTCCGCGGTGAGACTGGTGCAGAAGAGACTGGTGAGACTGCCGACAGGCAGTGGGTGAAAAACAGTGCTGCGGTTTCAGTCTGCTGTCTGGCCATGGGTGGTGCAAACCTCCCTCTCCTTCCATAAGTGCACTCACACTCCCACAAAACCTCATATATTACACATAATTTAAAAACTTACTACACATTATTTAAATGCTTATTCTAGCTACGATTTAAAGCCAAATGCCAAAATGACTTCTGACAGTGCTGAGCACTCATGACAACTGTCACCTATCGTGCAACATTTTCTTTCCCAATTAGTGAAAGGTCATGTTACAGCTATAAATCATTGCATTTTGATTTAGAGATCTGTTAAGGGCCTACAGAAATGCATCATACAAGTGATTGCGCTGGTCTTTTAAAAAAAAAGATTCCAGCTAAATAAGTGCTTGAAGGAAAATAGTGAATCTATTTATATATCATAATTAGGATGGGTAGGAGAAAATGGTTTTCATACACATTTCATGAGCCATATGGAACGGCATTGTGCAATTCTCTTCATCCTGCTATAAAAGCCCAGCTTTCAGCTCTAATGAGTCCAGGAAACTAATTTATTTATCTTCCTGTATGACTCGACATTTACAATGGCATTTATTTATATGTGGCATATTACACATAGCCAGGTACTTTCAGGAGGTTGCACAAATGCGTTCTGATAACAGTGTTAGATTAATACTGATAAATAGCACTCCTATAAACCAACTAAATAAAATTTTCTGAGGTCAGTGTGGCTGGATTTTCTCTATCGCGCAACCTCTGCTGATGTTGCTGTCTGCCCCTCCTTGGAGGCAGAGCAGATAGATAGCCAAGATGAAAAAAATAAAATCAGCTTTATAAAACAGTGAAGAAAGCTGGTTGCTGGGCACACTTGCTGTGGCATTGCCAGCTCACCAAGTCAGTTGTCATCAGTGCCACCAGGACATCAGCCTGCAACAGCCACCGCCTTGGACTAAGCTCACGCATGCACGCACACTCCTTGGTCTCTACCCATCCATCCCACCAGGCACTTCCATCATTTGGCATTAGACTGGCAATTTGCAAAAGACACAGGGACGCAAAGCACAGGGTACCAGAGGGTGGTCCGAGGCATTACTCGCCTCCCCTGCAGGAGCCATCTGCTGCACGCCAAGTCCCCGATGACACCTGGGGAACCTTTGCCCTTGCTGCAGAGGAAGCCAAAAAAAGCCAGAGAGCTCCTGGGCTCCTCCCAAGGGTAGGCATGATGGAAAAAAGCAGAAACCTTCTGCTAGAGCTTGCTGAGAAACTTTGAGGTCTCCAGACCTGGAAATGAAGAGTTAAGAAACCAAAATGCCTGCAGTGCCTCCCCTTTGAGGCTGGATCTTCTCACCAGAACCCCCTGAGAGATGACAGCACTGAACTAAAGGCCATAGGATTTATTGATGTACAGATTTTAAGGGAGACACACTAGACCAAAGTGCTTTGGTAATTGGGCCTTTCTGAATTGAGCCCACATCTCTGGGTGGACAGTCCTGGCTTCAGTGACATGCACAGTGACATGCACAGGTGACACAGTTCCTCACATACTAATCGATGTAAAGCACGAAGAGTACGTGCAATTACATATTCATAAAGGGTGTGGCAGCAATTTGCTGACCTCCATTTGCAAATCTTGTATTCAGTTTAGCTGGTATTAACTTTAATAGGAGAGAACCTGGAAACCCCAATCCAGTGGGAAGAGACCGTGAAGCCTGGCAATGCGTGGAGCATCCCGAAGGAAAGGTGCACCTGCAGTGAGTGGGGACGGCAGAGCCTCCTTCCCTGGGGGAATTAGGGCTCACAGGCTGCAGGTCCCGCATCTCCCAGCACAGCCCGACGGGCTGCCCCATCACCTGCCTCCGCTTTGCACAGCTTGGGTCAAAAGCCGGTGCTGGGGACCAAATGGGCAGGAGTCAGCATCACTGAGCTTTGGGGAGGAAGGATATTTCGGGAACGGGCTAGAGGCCGCTCAGCTCAGGTGTGACACTAGCAAAATCGTGCTTTGCCACGCTGTAGATTGAAACCCATGAGAGTAATTGCTGCCTTCCTGCATGACTTAAAATAGGATGTGGCCACACCACCCACACTGATATCCTTGAAATACAAAATAGCTCTTCTGTAGCCACAATAATAGAGATGGCAGCTAATGTCGGGGGATTTCAAGAATTGCTCATCAGTGCAGCAACCACAGATTTCCCCCTTAGCAAAGATGCAACCCCACACTGCTGGGGAGGGAGGCGAATCTCACTTCCTGGGGGGAAACCAGAGGAAATGCGGTGGAGCAGACGCACACATCAGGCTGTTCAGGTGCACGCTACTGCAGGAAGGTTAATTGTGTTTTTTAAAGCAGTGTGAAGTTTTTAAGACTACTGTGAAGCAAATGTTCACACCTGCTGGACGCCATTTCTCCTTGCCACCCAGGGCTTTCTCCTCTAGAAATCAGGTTAAAAAAAATCCTTTTGAACTGACTAGATTGGAGGCTTCTCTACAAACCCATTTTTCATCTCTTCTCTGGGTCTTGTCCCCTCAGAGGCTTTCAGTTGCTTCTTTCACCTCTCCACAAGTCTTAGATGTTTGCCCCAGCTCCCCTCCCAACACTACCCAGTAGTGCCCTTGGACCATGTTCTCCTAATCCTCCCACCCTTCATTCAGCAAATGGGACACACCAGGGCACGTCATGTACCAGCACCCAGAAGGACCATCATTTGAGGACGAGGAATTCATCACTATTTATCTAAGTAGTTTTCATCCAAATAGGACAGAGCACTTGAGCTGTAATAACTCTCCTAATGGACCAATAAAAGAGGAAAACTTACCATTCAGCAGAAAAGCTGAGCTCTCAAGAGTACTGATTAATGTTGGAATGGCTGTGACGGGGAGAGATTAGCTCTGAAAGGGAGGAGATTATAACAAACTCTCGAGTAGAACAATATTGGTCCTGGAGTCTTCAAGAGCTTTTGAGCCCTATCCCAAATGCTGGAGTCCTATCCCAAAGGCTGGAGGCCAACCCCCAAGCCCCACTGGCAAGAGCAGTGCAGCCTGAG